ACTGAATATTGATATCTAGGTACCATCGGCTTGGAATAATATTCATGTGAAATGCCGCATGTTGAGAATAAGTACCAACTCGAAAAAAATGCCGGCATATTAATTCTTTATTGATCAAGAAAAGGCAAGTGCATAAATGTGTTCCTTCATCAAGCAGAACCATATAATGACCAATTCCTTGAGTTCCAGTTGCTCAGACAAACCATTCTTCTAGGATTGCTTCTGGTGGTATGTTCTTAATCAAGGATTTGAAAAGAATTTGCCGAACATCTTGTTCTTGTTCCCTGATTCCATTGCTTATCTCTTTATTATCAATCTCCACCTATAAGGTAATTGTTAGTTTAAGATTATTATAATTAACACTAATAGAACTAGGGTTTCGATCCTATTTTTTAAAGCAATTCGGATAGAATCCGGATCTTCTCTTGCAAATCCGGATTGAATCCGGATTCTAAATTTGACCTTAACTCTGACCAAAATTATAATTTTGACCAGAATTAATATTAAACGTCAAAGATTAACTGTCTGCAAAATTTGCTAGCTCTGGCCAAATTTATAGTGCTGGCTCAAATTAATAAAAACGGATTCATTCGTTACAAAAAAGTAAGATCCGGATGTCCAAAAAACAAGGGAATCCGGATTTGAATCCGGATTGACCAGATCTGGATCGAAATCCTAAATAGAACCAAAACTTTAACACTTACATTTATTAAGTTTTGCCATTCTGTAATTCGATTAATATCATAACATACAGACTGATTCATTTGTGATCGTTGTTTTTCAAGCATTACAGGGCCTTCATGACATTATCCACAGAACCAAAAAATCTTGTATTTCGCATTGGCATACCAATTGTAGGTATGGCATTTCGTTCAAGTTCAAAATATTCAAAATGTTCTTCATTTCTAACGTGATCTTTGATATTAAGTAGTAAATCATATAATGAAGTGGCTCGATTAACTTTATCATGTATATGTCTGTTGATTGACTCAATTCTCTGTGTGCTTTGTGCTCCAGTAGTAAATCTTTTATGAATCCAAGGTATTGCCCAAGACTTTTTTTTATTAATATAAAGTGTATCAGACAAATACTTTGCTGCTGCTGGATATTGATCAATTAATTGATTCTATCGAAGTTCAAATAGGTCTTCACAAAGAGAATTCCTGCATATATAGAACTTATGGCGAAATTCTTTAAACTTATTTCCTAATTTTCCCTTTAGTTTTTTTTGAAGATTCAAATCAATATGAAAAATGCATAATAGATGCTTGGTATTCACATAAATTTCTTTAATTGATTGAATCATAGAAGGATCTGAATCAGTAAAAATAACTCCAGGAGAAATACCTGTTTCAGTAAGAATAGCATCAAATAACCATCGGTATGTATTTAGTGGTTCATCATCAATTATAGCAGTTGTAATAATTCATGACTTGTAGTTAATATCAACTACAGCTTATGATGCAAAGCATCATTTGAAATCTGTTTGTATTGTAGGTGGTATCAATAATAGTAACATCATTGTATTTGTTATATAGTTCCTTTTGTGTAGGTGACATCCACAAGAGAGATTTTAGTTTTCTTGAGACAGGATCTAGCCGAAGTTTTACAATCCACAGTGGATTGGGAATCCTTCCATAGTCATGCTTAAGTAAAAGATAAATAGATGCTGAGTCCATTCGACCTTGAATCACATACTTTTCAATATCCACCAGCATTTCAGGCGTTAATTTTTGAAATTGTGGTACTATTTCATGGTGAGTGATTATGTTCATTATTAAAAGAATTGATCTTTATAACACCACTTGTTTTTGGACAGGTAACATTAAGTTTCCAAGGGCGTGATGTTTTTAAAGAGCTGGCATTGTGTCTTTTAGTTGGATCAGAAGTTACTTGAGAAGTATTTGAACCTGATTTGATACATTCATAGGCTACCCTTCGTATTACGCCTTCAATCTTCTCACTTGATCTGATTTTATAGCTAAAACCTTCTTTTAAAGCAAATCTATTAATCCAACTTTTAAATTCGTTCCAGCTGTTGAAGGTTAGTCCAGCAATCAATTCCAAAGAATCTGTAAGTTCAACTAGGGATGCCAACGGTCAGTTCGGTTCGGTTTCGGTTTTAAAACTGCGGTTTTCAGCTGAAACCGAACCGACCGCAAAACCGACCGATAAAACCGAATTGCAAAACCGATCGCAAAACTACTGCAAATTGAATGAACTAATGTTAGAAAGTATTAATTATAATTTTATTTGATAATATTTCTTAAAGTTATAATTTTTTTTACGATAGTAATGTCAATTTTGCGATTTTTTTCAGCGGAACGAAAAATCACGTGATCGACGCGTAAAATATAAATTTGCTTATTATTTCAAAAACAAGAATACTATATATATATATACAACTAAATCATAATTTTTAATAGTATTCTCAATAAAATTAATAAAACAAACATTTTTTTCTTTTGAAATATATGATTAACTGATCGGTTTTTTTGTCAGTTTTTTTTATATATAAAACCGACGGTTAACCGGTCGGTCTTGGACTGAAACCGAACCGTAACTGAACCGGTAAAAACCGGTTATAATCGGTTATAACCGAAACTTTTGGCATCCCTAAGTTCAACCAATTCATCTTCATTATCACTTGTTTTATAATCCTACTAAGGCCGGACCAATTAAAATATTTGTTTAACATAACATATGAAGTCATATTAATAACAATAAGTTGAGTTGAACAATCACGATGTACCATATATTATGAAATATAAATTTATTAAAATGATAAACTTTTTTGATACAAATTTAACTTCTGGAATGAAAAAAAATTAACTATTAGTATTTCTCTTTCTTTTTTGACCTTTTGTATTAGTTTTAATTTCAATTTGTGCAAAAAAATCCTTTCCTTTACTTTGGCATATACTACACAAGGGAAATACAAACTTGTACTTTGATGTCATATATGTTGGAAATTCTAATAGTTTTAAGATAACTCAATTGGTGACTCACATGGAATTTTTTCACGTACAAATAAAACATTGTAAAGTTCATGACTTTCAGGCACTAAAGAAGATCCACAGCTATAATCCCAATCATCAACAATACATTTAAATATAGACTGCTGTGTGTTGGTCAATGCTTTTTTACTATAGAGACATCGAAATTTTCCACATTGAAAGCATTGGATAATATCTGATATTGTGAACTTTTGTATTTACAAAGATAGTAGATGGTGCCTGTTCAGAATTTAACATAGCCGCTATTAGTGTGGGACAATATTGTTCTGTTGTTTCTGTACCATATATACTCTTAAAATCAGTATAACGATCATTGTCTACTATTAAGTATTAAGTGTATGTAAATAAAGAATATAAAACTTTTTTACATTGTGCGGGTACTGGATCTGGAAGAAAGCTAATGCCGTTAACATTGCAATCCGCATTTTCGCATTTCTTGATCTATGAAAAATTAATAGGCAATGATCATCATTTGGTACAATCAATGTGATAATTGTGGCATAAAATTCTTAACCATTAATAATACCTGAAAACTATAATGATGAATTTGACAATGTGTTCGCATAAATTCCTGAAGATTAGTTTTTTTTGAAAGAATATTCATAGTTGTATCAGAAATCTTCAACGTTTTATCAATAGAAAAAATTATCTGCAAAAAATATATATAATTGATATCATTATTATTTTATATAATGGTGTAGTTAGCCGAAAAATTCAGCTGAAGGCGCAGTAAATTTTCGGCTAACAACACCCAGCCGAAAAAAATTCATGTTGATCTTGAATATTTTTTGAATATTTTATTGGTTCAACATCTACTATTTTCGGCTAGATATTTACGGCTAACTACATTATTATTTTAAAGAAGTGTAGTTAGCCGTAAATATCAAATGTAACACAATAGTTTAAGTGGTAACAAGTAATGAAAATTGATTGTTCATATTACAATATTTACCATTATTATTTAATGGTAAATATTATGTAATATTGTTTGGTGTAAAATTGTTTCTTAAAATGTTTAATTTTAATATTTGCTTGTAAATAATTTTTAAATTCTTTGGTTTTCTTTTTAAAAAATTAAATACCAGTTTTTATTTTTTTTGATCGATTTGAATTAGTTCTAACAATTCTAATGATCTGCATGGTTAATTATAGGTATGGGAAATTATATTATAGACGCGGAAAATTATATTATAGACGCAGTAAATTATATTATAAACACGGAAAATATTCAATAAAATGGATTTAAATATAATCAAAGATAATTTTTTTTTTAATAAACTTTTTTTCTTTGTTATCAAATTTGCTAAATTTACTGAAATTCTTCACTTAATTATGGATTCTATTTCCACTAAACAACTTTTAACTAAAACTAGAAAAAAATTACCAAGTTTAAGTGAGATAATGTCTTATGGACAAAAACATAAAAAAATTCAGTGATCTTTCATATGTAGATGTTTATATATCTGAGGATATAGTTATAGATGAAGGTGCATGTTTATTATTACCAGATGAATTTAATGGTTATATAC